AAGAAGTCATTAGAAGTCGGCCGCGTTTTGGCAAGTAACCTTTGGTTAATGACAGGACTGCATTTCGGCAGGCACGAGATAACAATTCCCCCCCCCTTATCGAGTAGGACGCCCGTGCTTTACAACAAGAAGTACTGGTGTTTGTCACTGGAGGCATTTCAGAGCCAAATGCCCTTACTCACAGCGCGCAACACCGGCACGCAATAGTCATCCGTAACACCTTTGACTGGGATTATGAACAAAGAACACCTTACTGCTTTTCCAAATATTTTTACCTTTCAGTCTCATCTTCCGCTCCATCCCGGCCTCCTTCCTAGTCACAGAGAAGACTCTTAAATTAAATTACTGTGCTTCTCACGGTTGGTCTCCCACCTCCCCAGAGCACTTTGAGACCTTTGGGTGAAAGGTGCGATCCATTTTAAGTGCAGAATACTACGTATGAATTCAAGCTCCGTACGGGACGTCACAGGTCCAGTGAAGTTGCCGTGTTTGGTCTCCCCACCCGTATCGCTTTCCAGCCACGGGAGTCAAACAGGAAGGACGGGGAAGATACCAAACCTGGAACAAAGTCCGACCACTTTAATATATTTCAAATACACTCTACAAACTGTTTAACGTATAAAAAGCAACATTGACAAGAATTTTGCTTTTTATACACGCTCATATTACATGCTCAAAATCGGGAAATACCAGAATGAAGGCCCTACTGCCAGCCACATTACCAGTCTCGAATAACCAAACCAAACATTTGTGCCCCTCCGGACTCTCACACTACACGCGTTTCACAACAACCCTCTCTAAATGCCCTTTTCACTGGCGCCCTTCCCGCCCCGAGTGGCTGACAAACCCCGCTCAGCTTCCCCAAGCGCTCCTACACAGTTGCCCAATGGGGAACAAATGTTAACGTGACAACGCTATTTTAAGGAGCCACTACGTTGTTTTTCAGGCTTTTTTAACACGCCACCATTTCATAGCAGCGATATTGCCGTAGTTGCAATGGTCTCATCATGCAGGGGACACGTGCGTCTCATCTGCAGAACGCCAAGTCTCAAAACCCAAGACGAACACCCCCCTCTCCGGTGCGGATCACCAGAAAAGCTTCTCTTCCTGCAGCCCCCAGCTTCGTTTGCCGCCCAGCCTCCCGCCGCTGTAACGGACGGGACAGGGACACCACGGGGACGCAGTTCCCCGCTCTCGGAACCAGCCGTCTGGTGCACCAGGCCCACGGGACGCCCTCAGCCCGCGGGCAGAGCACCAGTACGCGGCTGCACCGTAACGCTCAGGCACGTGGGGACTCGAAGCCTAAGCTTTAAAAGGCGATTTTAATTCTGGCGTTTCCCAAACTTCTGAGCACTTTGCTTCCTACGTTTAAGCCAAGGCCATCTGTGGCGTCCTGCGCTACTCGTAGCGAGTTTTAGGAATGGGGGCACCAACACAAGAGTTGTTCAGTTTTAGTAGACACGTACCTGCACGTCAGAGAGGCGAGCATTGCCTCTGCTGTGGCTACGCTGAGTCCCCACATCAGGGAGGGAGGGAGGGAGGGCAGAAGCCTGCACCTCCAGTGCCTGCACTGCTTGGAGACGTCCTTTGCAAGAATAGTTCATTCCACGTGTGGTACACACCCGCGGCACCCCACGGGGAAACTGGCTCAGGAGGCTGATGATGTTCACCTGGAGTAACACCCTGTTCTCTGCTGCTTACGAGCATAACCCATCCTCAGCCTGCCTTTAAACGCCTGGTTTTGTAAAGGAGGATCAAGAAAAAACAGGACACTGCTACGTGGATCTTTTTCTTTGCAATACTAATCTCTACAGTGAAACATTCATAACTGCCCAACAGAGTAAAAATATGCTACATCAAAACTGTACCAGAAAAAGCAGGACCCCTGTAACAGCTGGAGATGAGTTTGCAGATAAAAGTCAGACTTAAACAGCCAGCTTAAAAATATGCCACTGAAAACGTATGAGAAAATAAATACAGTTGTCCTTTCTCTACAGTTTGGCAGACACTGGAATTGGTGCAATTCACAGACTCTCATCTTCTTGTTCGATGTCGCTGCTGGCACCTCAGCGCGTCGTCTCACCGAGGAACAGAACAGGCACGGCCCTCCAGTCCGACAAGCACAGGGCTACGTCCCCTTGACAGCAGGGAGAGCTGGGAGCCTGCTCAAGCGCTCACCTGAAGCAGGTGCTTGGCTCTTCTGAATTAAGCACTGCATATTACACTCGAACGGGAAACACGCCGCCTTCCATCTAAAGTCTCATTACAAACCACTGCAGAAGCAAGGACATCCGCTCGGCATCAGTATGAGAGGGCTAGCGCGCTTAATACTGAGAACTACGCTGTTCGTATGATGGAGTGAATTGCAGGTCCATATCAAATACAGAAAGCGAAGACATTTGTCTGCTCTCCCGGGAAGCATATACTGTTTGGATGGCAGACAAACGACCAGCGAAGACAGGTTCCAAACTAACAGCGTCTCCCAGGGAATTAATTTACAAAGTGCCACTGGTCCTTGGAACCAAATACAGTGTACAGTACATTACAGCAAACACTAGCTCTACAGCTTGTGTCGGCCCACCTCTGCGCTATATGCAGAAGGAATTGAATGTTCAGACTCTTTACAATAGACTCCTTCCCTTTTTATACAAAGGAAAATAAAAACATAAGTTCAAACGGCAATAAATAAAACTACAGAACGTGTGTGTCCTGGTCAGCCCCCTTTGTGCATTCCAATCAGACTGGAGAGCTTCTCACAGTGCTCAAGTTTCAGTGATTCTGCTTTCTGTTTTAACCGCTCATCTCTGTATAGCTTGGCCAAATTCGACAAATCGGACTCTGAAAGGTGAAAAAAAATATATATTAGGATGAAGCCGTGAGCCTACTTGACATAATTGTTTGTCAGTGCTTTGTTATCCTTGTGGCATTTGTGTTGTTTTTTTTTTTTTAATTCACCTTGTTTCAGTGAAACTGGGCATGTTAACAACTTTCTTTACAGAGAGGCCATCAGGTTTAACCAGGCTAGCTACTTAAGAAAACAGTATTTTCATAATTGCTTGAAAACTCAAACTGCTATAATAACCCTCTCTACCAGTGCACTAGTAGGACAATAACCAAAACAAAAAATAAGACTGATTGTTACTGTCCACAAAGAAAACACAAACTATAAAAATATAGCTTAGAAGTCACGGAAGATTTAAAATTATGTTAGTGATCTAAAGAACATGCGATTGCTTTAAAATATACGTATATATTTAAACTAACTGTGCATAAAAAGGGGCTAGCAGGATACCATTTGATCTGCTACACAGCACCCGTCTTGGGCGATACCGCTACTTACATTCGAACTAGACCTCACCTCATCGTGCACTGACCCTTACTGACGTGTCGCCAGGCCCAGGCTGGCGGAGGGGGGTTGCTCTGCACCTATCAGCGGTATTTAAGTGACAGGCCAGGAGGGAAGACAGCCTCACGACTACTCTTCCCGTCGCTGCCTTGGGGCTGCGGCAGCTGCCCGCAGCCTCATAAGCTAAGCAGGAACTAGAAGACATACACGCCTGCCCACGTAACTGAGGAACGCAATTCTTCTGGCAGATCCATTCTGCAAGGGCCCAGAGCACCCATCCAAATATATATACTTTAAGGTACAGATAATTGGTTTTTTGATGTTGCACTTCTCAGAATTCAAACTCTGTCTGGCAAGAGGGTTGCCCTGAAGGCATTATAAATTCTTCTTTTTTTTTTTTTATTTTTTTTTATTGATTACAGGAAGGTGAACAGCTAGCTGAGGGACTTGCCTGAAAGGCCTCTGTGCCCGTTCATTAACAATACAATCTCGAATGTACTTTGCATATTTCTTCCCCTTCTTCTCAAAACTGAAACAATCCTATTGTTTAAATTATCCCCTCCCCCCCCTCCCCCCCCGTAATTCAGAGCCGTTTCTTTTGCTGATTAGCTAAGGAAGTCTTAACATAGCTTTCTCCCTGAAGAATAACTTCGATCCAGGATTAGATGCACCTAAGAGAACAGCAGTAATTTGTTTCTGAAAAGGTCAAAATTTCCCTAAGCACGGGCTACCTGATGACACTCAGTTTTTCAAAGAGCTTTTATATATCTTACAAGTCACTCATTTTACAAAATCATTCAGAGTGGAAAGAACTTCAATAGGTCCTTTCATGCCTTACGTCCTCTGTCCCTGATCCACTGAAATTTAAAGCCATTTAACCCCACACCTATTTATTGAAAAGCTTTACAAACTGACAGGCATAAACATTTTATTTCAGATCGGAAATTAATTTTCAGGTTTTATAACTACAATGCCACTCCAGTAGTGCTAGGCACATAGCCTTGACAAGCCTTCAGCAAAACCAGACTCGGGTAACTGTCTCCGAGTCCAGAGTCCCTGGAGTTCTGCAGCGAAGAATCTTAGTTCAACGCTGATCCAACTGGGCAAAAATATTCACTACAAATGCTTGCACTTTTGACAGCATTCATTCTGTCACGTTGGTTTCTTATGTTTTTCAATCTTTTACATAGAGTTGTTCCTTTGTACTTTTTCTCTGTAGGGAACTCCTAAAATAGCTAATTCCAACTACGTATCCTTCTTCTCTCTGTTTTCAGCTGCCTCTTTGTACTTTTCTCTGACTTGGAGCTCTTTGCAGTCTTACTTTACAATTGTGCTATCACAGCTGAACGATCTTCCGTAAAAACCTGGGACGTGCCTTTTGTACTTAACTGTATCAAAGATTTCAGAACACCAAAACCCACAGTGTACCCAACTTTTACGCACTATCCTGCTGCGAAGGGAGGAACACTGTCTACTGCAGCAGTATAGAAGTGCCCGGCTGAACAAGACACCGACATATCAGTTACTTTTGAAGTTTTCATTAAGGTAGTTGGACACCAGGTAACACTTTTCAAGTCATAAAATCAAGGAGTGTAAAAATCAATCTGTTCCTGTGTAACTAATCTATGTCCATTTTGCTGGTGCTAAAGAGAAATGCACCCTCAGTAAACAAAAGTACGATTAACAGACATTCAACTGACCAAAAAAACCCCAAAACCCAGTTGACCACATGAAGTTAAAACACTTAAACAAGAAGTAACGGACCAAAGTTATGAAACAACAGCTAAGAACTGTCTCAACATCTCCAAAGAACTTCTCCCTAGCACTCCATCTTGTATTCACAATTTATTTTTACAAACTTGGGTGTACTAAAGTTAGCACAGTCTCAGCTGTGCTCATTACCTGCTTGCTGGCCTAGATGGTAATCATTCTGAAAATGTTTTTTTTTAATTACAGTGGCCTCCTCAGGCTACTGCTAATTGCGGACCTTGTAAATATATTTGCAGATGTGTGACTAATGAAGCCTCTAAGTGTAAAAAGCTCCAGAGGAGCACTGTTTCGCAGGCATTACTTGGCATTCAATGCTGGATCATCTCCCCCTCTCTGACTACCAGTCTCTCTTCGACTTGCAAACCCTGTTTGCCCATTTTGGGGCACGGCACTCCTTAGCTCAAGGTCTACGTGAAAGAGACAATACGGTGACTTTCAGTTGCACAAGGTCAACTAAAAGGATTTTTTGGTAAGAAATAAATTCTATTCCTATAGCAAGCCTATGCGTGAAGCCTACGTTTATGGTTATTAACAGCCAGGTTATATACCCAGGGGCTGCTACTGCCAGCCAACGATGTTCAGAGATCACAGGTCAAGCACACCAAAAACTAAGGGATTGTTTGGGATTTTTATGGTCTTATATTATGGGTTCTTTTCTTTTTTAACTTCAGAGCCTACATCTGGCTATTTCTCTTTGAAAGCAAGATTGGTAACTTTTATGTAAAATAAAACAAAACAGTCTCTGGATGAAAACAAAACAACCCTTCCCATCAAAAACCTGTGAATAGTTGGGAGTCAGCAACACTATTGTTACCTCTAGCACAGGATGAAACAAGTCTTGTTTAGCCAAAGCGTATGCTACCGTAACGATGCAATTGGTGAAGAAACTGTAAACAAGTGCAAAGTCACTTTTTAGTAGTGTGCTGAGGACTGTTTTACACCGAGCAATTTAGAAAGCCCTGCTAGCGTGTGAAAGCAGCTTGCCTGCTACTATTAAACATTTACACAGAAACAACTTCTTCCAGCTTCCTTTATGCACAGCAGCAGTCTGTGTTTACTCATTTTAAGGTGATGAGTTCTTTAGCTGAAAAAAAACAAAATCAGTCACAACATCCCAACTTCAGCTAGTCCTTGTAATTTGATTTCCATTATTTTACACGGTTACAAAAGAAGCAGGGATTTGCTCTATTTTAAATGAGCTAGAAGAGTAGTAATTTAGAAATAATACAAGGTGGGGTTCAAATACATGCCTTTATACGAGCCACTGATCGACTTAGGGCTGAACGCTCACATTTTTATGTTCTCCCTTTCTGCATTCAATTCTTGTTTTTAAAAGACAATCTTGACTATGGTGAAAAACATGATCTCAAACTCATCTAAAGATAGAAAATGCAAATAAGTGCACAAAACAAGTACAGAAGCACGCTCTTTGAAAACTGATACCAGCAACACAGTTCAGTGCAAGATTACCAAAAGCACCTGAATAGGCTGTGGGCTCTCCTTCTGATGAAGTTTTGAAGAAAAACTTAAATAATCTTCTCATGGAGCCAGTCAAAACAAAAATGATTCTGCTCCAGCAAAGGAAACATGGAATAGGTGATGTCTGAAGATCTTTTCTAGCCCTAACAATCTGTCAGAGCTAGATAAATGTGCTGGATTACATGTTTAAAACATCATCACTAGGAGTTATTCAAGCATAAAAACTGAGTGGAAAAAAATGTCTCAAATGGTGAAATCTACTTTCCACTTGTCTCTCAGAATCACCTAAAACGAATTTTGACAGGCCCTCAAGAATAGCAAATTCAGTGTTAAGAGCAGATGTGAGAAATACCAGTGCAAGGTTTGAGACGTTATAAGCATCAGAAATGAGCCTAAAAAAGGCAGTGCTTTGTGAAGCGTAGCCATCATACAACTACTGATGGGTTGTAGGCACACACGTGTAACAAAAATAACTTACTTTGTTGTTTCTCCTTCCAGCAGCTGGTCTGAATATAGTCTATGTAATCTTTTTCAACGGTTTTCTCTAGCTCTTGAAGTTCTGCTCCTTGATAATTCTTCTCAAAGTTTTTATCAACATAGTAAGGCACCTGCAAGTTCTCTGTTTCTCTACCAATAACATGGCCAATGGACCTGTGAAAACATCATGGAGAAAACAGATTTTTTAGCAGTTCAAATATAAAGAAAGCAAGAGATGTTTCTCCCATATTAGCATTTCCAGAGGACAGTATTTACAACAACTTCTTTACACAGTTACTTTCTGCAGGACTACAGCTCCCTCAACCATCCAATAAGGAAATTACAAGTCTCAGACACAGCAAGCTGCGCACTACAAACAGAATTCACCCCCCCTGCTAAAAACCACAGGAAAATACCTAATATGTGGAGATACCTACGAAGAACTGACTCCGAGCTGACACTGTGTCTTCCAAATACCGTGTTTGTTCTCAACAGCTCAGTCAAGACACCTCCAAAACGTAAGAGCAAATTTTATCTGTGAACAGAAGCTCCTCACACTTTCTTCTGTTTGCTGGTAATTTCTGGCAAGATAGGTCCAGAAATGCATGGGGATTGATAACAAATGTAGAGATTATAGGAAAGCCATACGGCCCTAGTATTGCTTAGGGCACAACGGAATTGGATCTGGATTTTCCCCAATTTCTGGATGCTTTAGTAGAAGTAAAAACCAGCAGGGAAGATTCTAGTTACACTTTCCTGTAGGGTTTTATAATCATCAGTAAGCGAAGGGGGGCATGGAATATCCCGAAGAATATCCTGTAGGTAGAATCAGTCACTCTGACACAGCCACTGGATTAAACTATACCCTTACAGAGAAAGAGGCAGGCAGCCAAAACACCAAGGTTACACTGTGATCAATGGAATCCAGTTTGCCCCTTCTATTTCTTGGACTCCTCTCTTCCTTCTCTCTCGCTATGTCTCAGGGGTGTATGCTCTCTTTATATAAACTATTTATTTTAGCTTTTAGGCTGTTAGTTTTTTTAAGGATATGATTTAGAGAAACAGCATAACTGTGTACCAGGCTCAGGCCTGACTATCTCAAATCAACAGGAGAAGGGGAGGTAGTGAAGAAAAGCAGGAGAGATTAGCTGCTCTTGGGGCAGCGTGGGAGGTTTCACATGGGACTGGCAGATAGCAAAAACACTCTCTGAAAAAAAAAAAACCAAACCACCAACAACCCACCCAAAAAAGAGCCACCCTCCTGTTCTTATGCTAGGTCTACACACTGACATCTTGTGGTAAAAAACGATAAAGGGTGTTGGGCTACTATCACAGTGGAGAGGATATGGGCCTAAACCTAAATAGTTTTACTCCTAGAAGGGAGCAAGGGGAGTGTTCAGGGCACTCTGCTACTGCTGTGTGCAGCAGGTTCTCCGAAACCTGCTGACTCCTGCCCCAGTAAGAGCCAGTGAAGGTGACTGAACCGAGCTCTTTCCCACTAAAGAGCTTCCCTCCTCCCAACAGTGGATGCTGGTGGGTTTTCCTCTGCCCCACAAACTCAGATTACAGCAGGTCTGGTGGCGTTCCTTCCGCTTCCAGAGCTGACCGCTTCAGTTTGCCCTCTGCAGCCCCGGGGTCCCGCTTCTTTACAGATGTTAAGCCAGGGCATTTCAATGCTTTAATGATTTGTGGAGCTTGACAATTCTTCCAGTGGAATTCAGGCTCCAGAGCAGATCTGGATTTATACTGCAAACCGCAGGCTTCGTTTTTTAATTGCTTTACAGAGGAGTCTCAGCGGTGGTCCACAGATCCCTGGGGGCTGGGCAGACCAGAGGCGGACCAGCACTGTAGCAGAGCTACA